GGCTCAAACTGCGATGTCTGTCAGTCGTTGGCGGCTCTCATCACTGCACCACCGCACCCCAGGGTCAAATTGGAGAAGCTGGCCCCCAGTGCTGGGGCCCTTCCTGAAGCTCTACCAAGAGCCCCTGGACAACTGGGGGACGGAAGCCGACGAGGAAGAGGCACGTGTCAGCTTTCACTAGAGTAACGGAGGCTGCTGGTGTGGACGGGCTTCAGGCCCCAGGATGGTCCACTTGGCATCAAACGAGAAGAGATAAGAAACACCAGGGTCCCTGGCCTCTAGGAGGGGAACAAGCCAGGGTCCCCTCTCCCCACACGGAGCTGCAGCTCTCCAAGCAAAGGGCTTTTTTGCATTTTTAAAAAAACTTTTTATTAAAAAAAACTTTTTTAATGTTTATTTTTGACAGAGAGAGACAGAGCATGAGCAGGGGAGAGGCAGAGAGAGAGGGAGACACGGAATCAGAAGCAGGCTCCAGGCTCTGAGCTGTCAGCACAGAGCTCGATGCAGGGCTCGAACTTACAGACTGTGAGATCGTGACCTGAGCTGAAGTCGGACGCTCCATCGACTGAGCCACCCAGGAGCCCCAGGGTTTTTTTTTCCTTTTTGTGACAGTCAGAAGATGGTGCCGCTACCAACTTATTTTTCATCCTAAGTTGTGGCAATGCCTGAAACAGCTCGAAATTTTAAACACAAAGTTCAAAGGATGGGAAAAAAGTGAACGTGTCCAATCCTCTGGGTGCTGAACTTATTAAATCCAACTGGTCAGTACTTTAGAAATAAAAACCCACTTTACCTGAGATACCAAAGTGGTCACCGGCCATGATTATTTCTTTCCCTTTATTTTCAACTACACAACACACAAAGTCATTCTTGTGGCAAAAATTCACGGATATGGCAGACGTCCCTCTTGAAACCTAGTCCTGTGTGCAGGCGAGCGCACCAGACGCCACTGTGGGCTCAGCCACACCAGGCACCCCTGCCCGTTCAACGAAGGGGCGCACTCACAGGGTTCCCGTCATGGGCACCCTCAGTCCCCTGCCTCTGCCTTCCGCTGGCGTCTATGCCTCCCGTGGACGCTAGCACGGCAGCTCCAGAGATGAGGGCTCTGGCCGGCCCCCCCAGGGAGCGGCTGGGGGACTGTGGTAACAACGCTACTTGACTCAGAATCTAGTTTCAGTTTATTTAAATGACGTGTTGGAATGAAAGCTGCATTAAGAAAGAGCTCTGAGCATTAAGGACCCTGATGCATGTTTGCACATATTTAAACAACATGAGAATAACAATTAATAGATTGACTCAGGAATCACCACTTTCTTTTTCCTCTCACGGGTATACAGACTTACATTTGAGAAGGGGGCGGTACAGAGCCCATAGGAGACCTGGCCAGACTATGTCCGGTGCCCAAGGCCTTTCCAGCTGTAGAACTTCGACAACAGGGCCAAATGAGAACCGGGACGAAGAAGTGGGTCTTCACTTGTCTGTAACAGCAGACTAACCACTGGTAACTGGTAGAGCGAAATGCGTATTACGGATCAGCGTCACAACACAAAGGAGAGCGGATGAGCCCAACCAACCACACCATCCCTACCGCTGCTGAACCAAGCATGTGAGACGGGGCCCCACGTCCCAGTCCCGTGGGAGCCGCTGGGCTCCCTGTGCTGCCTGTTCTCGGATGTGTCCTTCACACGAGGGTGGTCCGGCCATATTACCTGGAACACAATGGTAACCACAAAACAGTCTTTCCCACTCCCCAACTGAGCACTCGTGAAGTGACCACAGAGACCTCAGCTGTGCCGTAAGGACCACAGTGAACTTTCACAAGGGCCTGCACATCCCAGGCCCGGGCCAACCACTCAGGAAGAAACTTGCGACCGCACGTGTAACCCAAGCACAAGGGACTCAAGGGCGGCTGCCCGAAGCTACGCGGTCCTTTCTGGGTTGGCTTCCCTGTCTCGGGAGATGCTGTGGCCCATGCTGTGCAGATTCACGCAGAGCAGGGCCTCGATGACACAGGCGTTCATTGTTTCTCCGTTCTCCCCACGAAGGTCTGTACATTTACAAGCTGTCAGAGACTACAGGGAATCTCCGCACTTGGGGTGGAGCCACAGCAAAGCTTCTGGGAGGCAGCAGGCAGTTCTTCACACGCCCTCAGCTCCGCCTGGCTGCCTGGTGCCACGTAAACGGCACAGTAGAGTGGAGTTAAAAACACATACCACGTTCAGGTCACCTCACTCAACATGTCTGTACTGTGTGCCTGTAATGGGTGAAATACAGCAATCTCGTTCTAGGTCTTGGCTGTAGGTAAGCAAGATGTACTGTACTGGCTTTATGCTCAATGTCTACGTTTACAATGATTCCTTCTTCACCTGCAAGCGGGTCTGTCCTCTTCCAGCTGGTGGGCGTCAGTTGGACCACCTGAAACACAAGTGACTGCATGAGCCTCCCTGATGAGTGCGTCCTGCAAGCTGGCCGCAGGGAGGAAAGTGCCCAGGGCCCACAGCTGGCAGGCCTGGCCGGAGCCAGCGGGTGTGCATGTCTGCGCGTGTGCACGGCACATCCACTGGGGTGTGTGTGTCCACACGTGTGGGGCATGTGCACCGGGGTATGCATGTCTGCACGCGTGTGGTGTATCCACTGGAGCGAGCGTGTCTGCGCGTCTGCACAGCGTGTGCACCAGGGTGTCCGTGTCTGCGCGTGTGCACGGCATATCCACTGGGGTGTGTGTGTCCGCACGTGTGTGGGGCATATGCACCGGGGTATGCGTGTCTGCACATGTGTGTGGTGTATCCACTGGAGTGTGCATGTCTGCGTGTGTGCACAACGGATGCACCGGGGTGTGTGTGTCTGCGTGTGTGCATGGCATATCCACTGGGGTGTGCGTGTCTGCGTGTGTGCACAACGGATGTACCGGGGTGTGCATGTTTGCACGTGTGCACAGCACATGCACTGGGGTTGCGTGCCTGCATGTATGCACGGGATATCCACTGGGGTGCGCATGTCCACACGTGTGTGGCACATCCACTGGGGTGTGCGTGTCTGTGCGTGTGCACAGCGTATGCACCAGGGTGTGTGTGTCTGCACATGTGTGGGGCTTATGCACCGGGGTGTGCGTCTGCGCGTGTGCGGGGCGTATGCACCGGGGCGTGCGTGCGGCATATCCACAGGGGTGTGCGTGTCTGTGCGTGTGTGTGGTGTATCCCTGGGTCTGGGAGAGGAGACAATGTTTCACGTAAGCATGTCCTGCCCGATTCCAGAATGAGTTGAGGGCACACCCTTACTGAATGGAGAATGGTGGCCATCACTGTTGACTTCCTAATTGTTAATACCAAAGGTCACCGTTTCAACCAGATACTTAGTCCTGATGTCACCTATTGAGTGCTTACTGAGTGCTGACCCATGTAGCCCTCAGTGCTGGCACCCTCCATATTCTGGAGATCATTCCTACCTCTACAACACTGGAAACTGCCCACCACTCTTCTGAAATGCCGTCCCCCCCAGGTCCCAGGGCACCGTGTTACTTGGTCTTTCCAGACCCCTAGAGAGGCACTTGCATAGGCCTCCCCCACTTTCCCACAGGTCTGCAGGTGCTGGTGCCCAGGACTTGGGAGACAAATGTAATGCCTAGGTCTCTATGATGTGCTGAGTAATGCTGGCCCTGCTGAATCCCTCTCCGGTCACCCCCCGGATGCCTCCTCTGACAGGAGCTCACCGCTGCGGATGCAACAGAGGACATGTTCACTGTGGGTTTGCACACTGCAAGATGCATGTGAGCATATGCACCCTCCCACTGAATCTTGGGGGCAGGGGTGACATCACCCTCACTAGGAAGCGAGGAGTGGAGAGGCCAGGTGTGCCGTCCAAGGCCATACACACAGCAGGCCACAGAGCAGAAACTGAACCGGTCTTCTCTGCTCCAAAGTCAACCACAGCCAGCAGGGGCACCGCAATCACAATGGACCCAAAAGTTAAAGCTTGTCTACACTCACTCTCCTTCCCTTGTATTTCCTACCCAAGTTAATAGCACTGAAATCTGAACTCAATGCAAGTCAGGGACCTGAGGATCATTCTAGGGTCCTTCTCTACTGTTTCCCCTCACCCCAGTTACAAATGGTCCCCCAGGACTTCCTCAGATTTTTGTAATTACGTCATTCCCTTGGTGTCTCCAGGAAGAGCAGGAAGGCTCTTCCTATGACCTGAGGTAAGAGTCAAGGATTTCAGCATCAGGACCTCCCCAAGGATCCCGTGGCTGAAAGCCTCACCTGGGGTACTGGCTTCCCATCACTTTTACAATGCGTGACTCTGCAACACAATCTGCCCTGAAGAATTACCAGCCACGTGAGAACAAAAATCTAAAGTAGGAGCGCCTGGGTGGCTCAGTTGGTTGAGCGTCCAGCTTCGGCTCAGGTCATGATATCCTGGCCCATGGGTTCCAGCCCCATATCGGGCCCTGTGCTGACAGCTCAGAGCCTGGAGCCTGGAGCCTGCTTCAGGTTCTCTGTCTCGCTTTCTCTTGCCCCTCCCCAGCTTGCGCTCTGTCTCTGTCTCTCTCAAAAATAAATAAACATTAAAAAAAATTTTTTTATTCTAAAATAAAAACAAAGACCAAAAGAAACATATAGAAAGAGAAACAGAAGAAGATTCTATGAAGGAAGAAGGAAAAAACAAAACACAACTATTGGTGTAATTTACTCAGATGCAAAAGAAATGTTGCAGCCACGAAACAGAAGAGTATGCTATGAAAAAGACATTCCGAGCTCTCAGAATTTACAAACAGCACAATTAAAGATCAGAAAGAATGGGAGACAAATGTAATGTAATCTCCCACAAAGCAGAGCAAAAGACCAAGATACGAGGAGAGAAAATACAGGACAATTACAGGGCTGGAATATAGTGTCTAACCTCTGAGACAAGTAACAGAGAGCAGAGAGAATGGAAGGAAGGACATCACGAGAGAAATCATTGGAAGAAGGTTCCAGATCTGAAAGACGCTGACCAGCTTCTCACTGCCATCCGCGAGGCGGCTGGCCGGGCGTGTTGGAGACAGGAAGGCTGCTGGCTTGGGCTGCCTTCCGTGGCATTCCCCATCGCACTCCACGCGGGGGCTCTCCTGGAGTCCAGGTGTCCAGAGGCTGGGCCGTGGGGACAGGAGCCAAGCCTGAGGCTGCTCCTAGGACTTGCCCCACCGACTTCTCGGGGGTGCAGCCTGTCTGCAGAGCTGCCAAGTAAGGAGCCATTTCTCTGCCGATGGACACTGGGGTTGTTCCCATCTGTTGACTGATGTGGATAATGATGTTATGAACATCATGGCTGCACCATTTCACATTCCCTCCGGCAGCGCATGGGGGTCAGGTTTCTCCACATGCTTGTCAATACTTAGTATTTTCTGTTTAGTAGTAGTAGTATCATCCTAGTAGGTGTGAAGCGGTACCTTGCAGTTTTGACTTGTGTTTCCTGTGACAAATGATGCAGAGCATCCTTTGATGAGCTTCCTGGACGTTTACACACCTTCTTCACAGAAAAGTCTATTCACACCTGGGTGGCTCAGTTGGTCAAGCATGTGACTTCAGCTCAGGTCACGGTGTCACGGTTTGGGGGTTCAAGCCCCACAGTGGCTTGCTGCTGTCAGTACACAGCCTGCTTGGGATCCTCTGTCCCTTGCTCTCTGCCGTTCCCCTGCTCACGTGTACTCTCTCTCAAAAAATAAATTTTCTTTTTAAAAAAGAAAAATCTATTCAAGCCCTGTTACCTTTTCGTTGTCAAGTTATGGAGGTTTTATACATACACATATTTTGGATATTAATCCCTTATCAGAAACATAGCATTTTCTCTTCAGTACATTGTCTTTTCACTTCTTTAGTATTTATTTTTGGGAGAGAGAGAGAGAGAGAGAGAGGGAGAGAGGGAGAGAGGGAGAGAGAGAGAGAGAGAAAGAGAGGGAGACACAGAATCTGAAGCAGGTTCCAGGCTCCAAGCTGCCAGCACAGAGCCCAACGCGGGGCTTGAACCCATGAACTATGAGGTCATGACCTGAGCTGAAGTTGGTCGCTCAACCAACTGAGCCACCGGGTGCCCCTTCACTTTTTTTTTTTTAACTTTTATTCATTTTTTGATAGAGACCGAGTGTGAGCAGGGAAGGGGCAGACAGAGGGAGACACAGAATCTGAAGCAGGCTCCAGGCTCCGAGCTGTCAGCAGAGCCCGACATGGGGCTCGAACTCACGGACTGTGAGATCATAACCTGAGCTGAAGTTGGATGCCCAACCGACTGAACCACCCAGGCGCCCCTCACTTTTTTAATATTATTTTTTATTGTACCGAATTTTTAAATTCTGATAAAATCTAATTTATCTATTTTTTTTTGTTGCCTATGCTTTTGGTGTCATACCCGTGAGGTCTTTGCCAAAGCCAATTCCATGAAAATTTTCTCAATGCTTTATTTAAAGAGTTTTAGGGGCACCAGGGTGGCTTAGGTCATGATCTCATGGTTTATAGGATCAGCCCCACACTGGGCTCTGCTCCTGACAGTACAGAGACTGCTTGGGGGTTTCTCTCTCTCCCTCTCTCTGCCCCTCCCTGGTGCTCTCTCTCTCCAAATTAATAAACATTTAAAAAAAATAGAGAGAGTTTTATATTACAGCCCTTGAGTCTAGGTCTTCGACCCAGTTTGAGTTAATTTTGGTATATGGTGTGAGGTAAGGGGTCTAATTTCATTCTTTTGCATGGGATATCCAATTTTCCCACACTATTAAATACTTTGAATGAATGAATAAATAAACTGCTTTCTTAATTTCCTTTCCTGATTACTCACTGCTGGTCTTAGAAACACAATGGATTTTTGTCTGTTGACTTATTAAATTCTGCAGCTTTGGTGAATTTATTAGCTTTGGTAGCTTTCCTGTGGAATGTTTGGATTTTCTATACATAAGTTCATGACATGTATGGCTAGAGACAGCTTTACATCTTCCTTTTCATTTTGGATGCTTTTATTTTTTTCTTATCTAACTGCTCTAGCTAGAATGCCAGTACAAGGCTGAACAGTAGTGGTGAAAGTGGGCACCTTGTTCCTGACCTTAAGGGGGAAGCTTCTCACCTTCCACCATTGAATATGATATTAACTATGGGTTTTTCATAAATACCTTTTATCAGGGTGAGGTATTTTACCTCTATTCCTAGTCTTCTGAGAGTTTTTGATATTTATCAACTTTATTTTAATTAAAAAATTTTTAAATGTTTATTTTTGAGAAAGAGAGAGTGTGCACATGGGGGAGGGGTAGAGAGACAGGGAGAGGGGCAGAGAATCCGAAGCAGGACCTGTGCTGTCAGTGCAAAGCCTGATGTGGGGCTTGAACTCATGAACCATGAGATCATGAGCTGAACTGAAGTCCGATGCTCAACCAACTGAGCCATCCAGGCACCCATGAGGGTTTTTATTATGAAAGGATGTTGGATTTTGTCAAATGTCTTTTTTAATGCATCGAATGTGACTGCGTCTTCATTTTAATAATGTGGTATATTACACCTATTTTATATTGAATAACCCTTTCATTCCCGGAATAAATCCCACTTGGTCACTGTGAATAATCTTTTTAATATTCTATCAGATTCAACTTATTAATATTTCGTTGAAGATTTTTGCATTTATATTCACAAACTATATTGGTTTCTAATTTTCTTTTCTTGTAAAGTTCTTATCTGGCTTAGGTATCAGGGAAATTTTGGTCTCATTGAGTTAAGTGTTTGGTCTTTAAAAAAATTTTTTTTGGACAGTTTGAGAAGGATTGGTGTCAGTTCTTTTTTAAATGCTTGGTAGAACTCACAGAGAAGCAATCCGGTCCAGGACTTTTCTTTGTTGGAGATTTCTAATTACTAATTCAATCGTGTTACTTATTAAAGTCTATTGAGATTTTCTATTTTTTCTTCAGTCCGTTTAGGTGATTTATTAAGTTTTAAGGAATGTGCCCATTTTTCCTAGACTGGCATATAATTTTTCATACCATGCTCTTAAAATCATTTTTATCTTTGTCATGTCAGTTGCAGTGTCCTCACTTCCATTTCTGATTTTATTTCTATCTTCCGTTTTCATCTAAAGATTTCTCAATTTCCCTACCTTTTTAAAGAACCAATTCTAGATTTCACTGATTTTTCTCTATTGTTTTTCTATTCTGCATTTTGTATATCTCCACTTTAATCTTTATTATTTCTTTCCTTTTGGTAGCCTTGGGTTTAGTTTGCTTTTTCTTTTTATAGTTCCTCAAGATGAAATACAGTCTACTGACTTGAGATCCTTTTTCCTTTTAAAATGTAGGTGTTCATAGCTACACATTTCTCTCCAAGCACTGCTCTTGGTGAACCCCATGAGTTTAGTATTTTGTGTTTTCATTTTCATTTGCGTCTAAGTATTTTCTGCTTTTCCTTGTGATTTCTTCTATGACCCATTGGTTGTTTAGTAGTATGCTGTTTAATTTTCAATTTTATGAATTTTCCAGTTTTCCTTCTGTTGTTGATTTCTAACTTCCTCTCACTGTGTATCAAAGAGACATGCCTTGTGGCTAATATAAGGCCTAACCTGAAGAGTGTTCCAGATGTCCGTTAGGTCCAGTTGGTTTATCATGTCGTCTAATTCCTTTATTTCCTCCCTTACTTTCTGTCTGCTGTTCTATTATTAAAAGTGGAGTATTAAAGTCTCTATTATTATTGAATTATTTCTTTCAATTCTGTCAATTTTTGTTTCATACATTTCGAGTGTCTGTAATTTGGTAAGCAAACATTTGTAATTGTTTTATCTTCCTGGTGTATTGAAACTTTTTTTGAACTATAGTTGACACACAACAACTCATTAGTTTCAGGTGTACAACATAGTAATTTGACAAGTTTATATATTATACTACAAATGTTGCTTCCATCTGTCACCATATACACTATTACAGTACTATTGACTATATTCCCATTACTGTGCCTTTCATCCCGTGACTTATTCATGCCATAACTGGCAGTCTGTAACGTCCACTCCCCTTCACCCACTTTGCTCATCCCCCTATCCCTTGCCCTTCTGGCAACCACCAGTTTGTTCTTTGCTTATGGGTCTGTTTCTGTTTTGGTTTTTTTTGTTGTTGTTGTTGTTGTTCGTTTGTTTTTTAGATTTCACTTATGAGTGAAATCTTACGGTATTTGTCTTTTTCTGTCTCACTTAATTTCAGTTACCATAATACCCTATAGGTCCATCCATGTTGTTGCAAATGGAAAGAACTCATTTTTTATGGCTGAGTAATATTCCATTGTGTATATGCACTATATCTTCTTTATCCAATCATCTATAGAGGGACGCTTGGGTTGCTTCCATAATTTAGCTATTGTAAATACTGCAATGAACAAGGGGATGCATATATCTTTTTCAAACAGTGTTTTGTTTTCTTTGGGTAAATAGCCAGTAATAGAATTACTGGATCATATGATATTTCTAATTTTTTTGAGGAACCTCTATAGTATTTTCCACAGTGGTTGCACCAATTTACATTCCCACCAATGGTGCACAAGGGTTCCTTTGAATCCATCTTTGTCGACACATTATTTCCTTTGATTTTACCCATTCTAACAGAGGTAAGGCGATACCTCATTATGGTTCTGACTGCATTTTCCAGATGATTCGTGATGTTGAGCATCTTTTCATGTGTCTGCTGGCCATCTGCATGTCTTTGGGAAAATGTTCAAGTCCTCTGCCCATTTCTAAATTTTATTATTTGTTTTTATGGTGTTGAGTTTTAGAAGTTCTTTACATATTTTGGATATTAACACTTTATCAGATATATCATTTGCAAATATCTTCTACTCGGTAGGTTGTCTTTTTGTTTTGTTGATGGCTTCCTTCACTGTATAAAAAACTTTTTATTTCGGTGTAGTCCCAATTGTTTATTTTTGCTTTTATTTCCCTTGCCTGAGGAGACCTATCTATTACTGTCTTGGTTTTCTTCTACAAGGTTTGGTTTCAGATCTCACACTGGTGTCTTTAATCTATTTTCAGTTTATTTTTGTGTGTGGTGTAAGACAGCGGTCCAGTTTCATTCTCTTGCAAGTGGCTGTCCAGTTTTCCCAACACCATTTATGGAAGAGACTGTCTTATTCCCATTGTACATTTTTGCCTCTTTTGTCATAGCTTAACTGACCATGTAAGTGTGCATTTGGGCTATTTTGATCCACTGATCCATGTCTGTTTGTCACATACACATATTTGACACATATGTGTCAGTACCATACTGTTCTGATTATAGCTTTGTAGTA